AAGAAAATTAACTCTATCCCAGCCAAAACCAGGACACAGAGCAACAGTGAGCAACTCCTTAATTGTTGCTCCTTGCAACTATAGCCCTATATTTGCACAGTTAATAGAAGTGCCTTTGCTCTTTCTAGCATGCTCTAATATCAGCCAAGTGATGACTTGAACCAGCCAGCCAGTTCTGTGTGAGCTCTAAACCAGAGCAGGTAAAGAGCCCTGAGTGTGATGGCTGGTATGCGAAGCTGCGCCTGGGAGTTATTGTCTTGGACCCCTGCAGCGAAGCTGAGTGGTGCTTTTTGTCTTGCAGGTGGTGGGGGATGTGGACACGACCCTGCCCAGGACTCTGGATGAACTTGGCATCCACCTGACCAAAGAGGAATTGAAACTGAACATTCGGCCCCTCCTGCGGCTCGTCTGCAAGAAGTTCTTTGGGGAATTCACAGGTAAATGCTGTTTGTCTTCCCCTCCATAATCTTCCCAATACCCTAGGCTCACGTCAACAGAGTTAAGTGCTGTATTACAGCCATGGAGCGCTCACTTGCACAGATCCCTTCTCAGCTTTCCAAATATAAAATATTAAGCCATTTGCCCAAAGGACAGCTTGAGACACTGCCTGCATCTTCCCCATTGCTGTGGGTGTGGTGCAGTCAGAATGGCTTTGCCTTGTGTTTATTGGAGTCTGTTTCTTTCCTCTACGCCGCTTAATCGTGTTCTCATGAAGCATTACTTTTCCAGGCTTTGTGGACATGTGTGTGCAGCATATCCCCTCCCCGAAGGTGGGAGCCAAGACGAAAATCGAGCATACCTACACTGGCGGTGTTGACTCTGATCTGGGGGAGGCCATGAGTGAATGCGACCCTGATGTAAGGAAACTCTTCTGCTTTGCTCTGAGTGTCCAGAAGCGTGGCAAATATGCCCTTCTTTCACTGCCTTGACAGGGCAGCTGCCTCCTAGACAGCCATCTGCACAGATTTGACTTCCAGCATTTTGAAACCTCTCATCCGATACCGAAACAAATTTCTTCACTCTGAGAAACTTTAGCTGCCTGCCAGGGCAGCCCTTGAGAGAGAGAATTGTTTGACAGTGTGCAGAGAAGAACAGGACTAGGTCAGGACTTCAGAGCACGTGGGAACTGCAGGGTGATTTTGTGTCCTTTTGCTGCCTTTTTGTTCTCTTTTCCTTGAAGTTTGATTCTCTCTCCAAACTCTGAGAAAAGTGATCTGAACTATACTGATAAAAATAGCCCTGCATTAGTTAGTCAGCACCTTCCCTATCAAAGCCTTGCACAAACCTTCCTCCTCAAACAGCTTGTACTGAGCTGTCATTCAGAATTGTCTAGAGCCACCAACGCCAGCCAGCAGCTAGTGAGGAATTTGCCCATGACTTTTGCTCTAATGTCTGGAGAGAAAATGAATCGCTTGTTTTAATGAGTTGTGATTACCCACATAAAACTATACAGTGGTGACTGTCACCAGATCACCAGTTGTGGGGTGACCTTATGGGACTGAGAGCTGTGGTCTGTGGAGGCTTGGGTGCTCTGCCCAGAGCTGATTTGCGGGTCAGCAGATGACATTTCTTCTTGTGGCTTTGTTCCAACCACTATTTACTGCTCCACAAGAGGAGTAAGGGTTGCTCCAGAAAAGTCCACCGAAGTCGTTCTAGGGTTCTGCGTACAGGGCAAGGAGATGTAAGGCTTCCAGTGGAAGGAAGTGAAGGACTTGGCAAGTCAAAAGAAGTATTTCTAAGTTCCAGACCATTAATCCCTTTGTATCAATGAGGATACCAGGTCTGTGTCTGTTTCTTGACTGGGTTTTGAAAGAGGCTTATTTTTTCTTCTCTCTCCCTCTCTCTCTCTCGCCCTGGAAAGGGTCCACTGATGTGTCACACAACAAAAATGTACAGCACAGACGATGGCGTTCAGTTCCACGCCTTCGGCAGAGTGCTCAGCGGTACCATCCATGCTGGACAGCCTGTGAAGGTCCTTGGAGAAAACTATACCCTGGAAGATGAGGAGGATTCCCAGATTTGCACTGTCGGACGCCTCTGGATCTCGGTTGCGAGGTACGGAAACCTCTGGCAGTACGTTCATTTGGGAGAGGACTCACCTGGAGTTGTTGCTGCCAGGGACAGGGAAGAGGACAGCGCTGCAAGGGGCCCGGGGCTGGAGGCAGCGAGCGCTGCAGTGACGCTTCCCTGCCTTTTAGGTATCACATTGAGGTAAACCGGGTTCCTGCTGGCAACTGGGTGCTTATAGAAGGAGTGGACCAGCCCATAGTGAAGACCGCAACTGTCACGGAGCCTCGGGGCAACGAGGAGGTACTGTGCGCAGCTGGTATCGCTCAGCCTTACAGAGAGTCGAGGTGATGGAGTGCATGCCAAAAGCTGCAGGGGTGAGGTTAAAGGAACCTTGTCTGCCAAGGTGCCAGGGCACAAGGGCCACTGAGGGAGACAAAACAGCTTCAAATGCCGTGTCCAACGCCAGTGGCCATCTAATGATGCAGAGATTCAGCTCTTTGTCCTTATCTGGTTTCAGGCTCAGATCTTCCGTCCTTTGAAGTTCAACACCACATCTGTCATCAAAATAGCTGTAGAGCCGGTCAACCCCTCGGAGCTCCCCAAAATGTTAGATGGTCTCCGCAAAGTCAACAAGAGTTACCCCTCACTTACTACTAAGGTATTTCTGGTGTATGTGTGGCTGTTTTCAGCTCATGCTGTGGGCTGCCTTGTAGGCTGATCTTAAAAATAAATAATTTTTTACTGTAGGTTGTTTTGTTTGTTGTGGGTTTTTTCATGCTGTTGCAGTTGACCTCATGAATCATGTAGAAATAGCAGAAAACTGTAAATCCAGCAGAAAAACACACACCTTGCTGTGCCAGGGAAGCAGCTTTCTGCAGAGCACATCAGCACTTTCTGCTAGAAAAGGCTGCGGGAGCAGCTTTCCTTGGGGTGCTCTGATCCTAACCAATTTATTTAAAGCTAATACTTCCTCAGGCTTGTGTAGGAGCCTGGAAGGCAAGGGCCTGTGAGCAGCAATGTTATCAGCTGAACCCCTCTCTTATTTTTCAGGTGGAAGAGTCTGGGGAGCACGTGATCCTGGGCACGGGGGAGCTCTACCTGGATTGTGTGATGCACGATCTACGGAAGATGTATTCAGAGATTGATATCAAGGTGAGGAAATGAGAGGGGTTTTCCCAGCTGGGGAGGGGGGCTTGTTCCCCTGTCTCAGAAGAATGGGAAGATAAGCCTAGCTGAACGTACAGCATGGATTTTGTCAGGTCCTTTTAAAAGGAAAAAAAAGGGCTGTTGGGATGCAAAAGTAACTCTTGCAGCCTGACTGTGTCACACCATTGTGACTGAGAGCCTGAAAATTGACTTGGAGAGGGGTGTGTGACCATGTTCCAGACTTTTCCTGTACTTCAGCCATTGCCTGGCTAGCATTAAATAAATAAATTGAGCAGAATTTTTCGTATCTGGAATTAGGTTTAAATGTTCCTGTCTTGTTTGAATGAAGGAATTAGTAAAGCTGCCTGTGCAGGTCTCCGTGGTTCATACGCAAGGCCGATTAAAACACTGGCAGGTGAACCAGTTTTTTCTTGTAGGTGTTCAAAGGTTTCAAACAGTCTCTTTAAAAGCAAAAAAGTACTTGAAAACCTTACAAACCTGTTGTCGTTATTCCAGGTCGCCGATCCAGTTGTGACATTCTGCGAGACAGTGGTGGAAACGTCCTCCCTAAAGTGCTTTGCCGAGACACCCAACAAGAAGTAAGAGCCCACGGGCGAGCTGGGCGTTGGAGATGGGCCCGCGGAGGGGTTCCCTGGAGACCCCAGCCTTCACCCCTCCCGGGGGCCTGGTCTGGGTGGCTGTTGTCCAGACAAGTGGCGTGTGCCTGTGTCGGCAGCCTGCCGTTGCGGCAGCTCTGCTGAGCTGCTCAATAACACGCTTGAGTCCTAGGGACGTTTCTGTGTTTTGTAAGAGCTCTCAGAATGGAGGGAATAAAGACAGAGCCACAGCCTTTTTTTTTTTTTTTTTTTTAGCTAAATTTCACACCTTGTCAGCAGTTTTGTGGTGTTTCCAAGACTAGGAGTTGTGTTGGGATCCTAGAGCAGGTGCCAAAGAGCCCAGTGCTGCCTTCAGTAACTTCCCAAATGTTTCATGAGCAAAAGCTTTCTCTTCTCTTATTTGTTCTTAGTCTTGGAACGGATTTTTTTCCTTCCTGCTGTTGCACGGGAGTCTTACAGCCTGGTCTTGTCTCCTTCCTCCAGCAATGCGCTGTGAGATGCACATGTTTGAAAGCCAGAGGCCTGGGAGGGAACATAGGCTGAATAACCAGGATGAAATCTAGGAGCACAGGACGTCTTAATGCCTGAATTTTCAGGGAAATCATGATCTGTCATATGCTGAATGTGGCTTTCCTGTGTTCCCCTGTAGTTTCTGGTTCTTCTTATGCTCTTTTGTTCTGATACACTCACTCCATGGTTGGTAACCTTATTTTTGGGAACAGAAAGTTCCAGTCTTAGGTCGGTCCTTGAACTGTTGGGCATGTGGAGTGACCTGCTTTGGGGGCAGGCTACTTGCGTTGGTGGGGTTCTCCAAGGCAACGTCCCATGTGTCGGACACAGTGAGTGCCGGCTCTGGTAGAGGCGTATTGCCCGGCCCATGGGCTTCCTTCTGCGGCCTGGACGAGCGCTGGACGTCTGGCAAGAGGGATGGAGCCATGTCATCCCTTAGCAATCTGCTTCTGGAGATTAGCAGACTTCGGAGAGCAGTTTTTAAGTGCGTGGGCTGTTTTTACAAGCAAGACAGTAACAGCGAAGGACACGGATGGCTTCATCTCCCTAGCTGGGTTCGAGGCACTGCAGTCCCCGAGGTCCTGCCAATTACTCCCATTTCCATCATTCTGCGTACTAATTGCAACTGTTTGTCTTCTCAGGAACAAGATAACGATGATTGCTGAGCCTCTGGAGAAGGGACTCGCAGAGGACATTGAAAATGAAGTGGTCCAGATAACGTGGAACAGGTATGACCAATCTGGGGAGAGCAGGAGTCCATCTAGAACCAAATAATTGGGGAAAAAAGGGAATGCTGGGATCTGCAGGGTGCACAGTGTAAGCCAGAAGCCTCTAGGCAGGGGTTCTGGTTCAATATTGCTATCAGCTAGTCCGTGAGCATCCCTGCCTCCGCAAACAAGTTGCTCCAGGTAAAAAGCTGAGATCCTTTTATGTTTGAAGGGAACAGGGTCATAAATATGTTGTGAGTGCAGGTCAGATACTTGTTTCCTAAAGTTTCTTCCTTCCTCCTGTTATCAGAAAGAAGCTGGGTGAATTCTTCCAGACCAAATATGACTGGGATTTGCTGGCTGCCCGTTCCATCTGGGCCTTTGGGCCAGACGCCACTGGCCCAAACATCCTAGTAGACGATACGCTGCCCTCAGAGGTGAGAAACGCAGGCAGGGGGTTATGTTTCAGTGAGACATTTGTCCTGTGGTGCCAAGAGGTGACCGCTCCTTCCAGAGCCTGCAGCAAGGTCCTAATGCTGTTGGAGTGCTTGTTGGTTTGCCAGATCTCAGATCTGCTGTGCTTTCTCCACCATGCTCCTACACTGGCTAGCAAATTTTTCAGGCGTTGCTATTTGGGCTGGCATCCTCCAAAATTGGCAACTAATCGGCCTGCCTTTCAGGATTACCAAAATATGGACTCTTTTAATTTATAGCTCTAGATGCCAAACTCTGAAGATAATGCCCCTGAGCTGTGAGAGGGAGGGATAGACATTGGGGGTATCGGGACATTGCTGCTCTTCTAGAAACTGGCTTTTAAACACTGGGGTCTGTCTGTTACTGCCTCGTGATGCAGATGTGGTCTCTGAAGCAGTCTGTCTGTCTGTCTGTAGGTGGACAAGTCGCTGCTGGGCTCTGTGAAGGACAGCATTGTGCAGGGATTTCAGTGGGGGACCAGGGAAGGGCCTCTCTGTGACGAATGTAAGTAGGACCTGCAGAGAAGTGGAGCTAATAAGATCGATTAAATTCTTCCATCTCTAAGCACCCAAGTGATTTTGCTGGTGCAGTCCCTCAGTGGCCAGTTCCCTCCGCACGCCGCAGCTGGGGACAGCACTGGGGATGGGTGACAAGGGAGATAATGTTTTCCTGGCTGCACTTGCCACCCAGGCACTGGCACTTGCCGCCTGCTTACAAAGCAGGGCCCGATAGCTGGCAAGCTGCCTCCTCCAGACCTCGGCTCTGCTCCTCGTATAGTTCAGGTGCAGATCATTGAGCACCCTGCATGATAAGCTGCTGAACTGCCTGTCTTGGATGTGCAGGACGTGGTCATGCCTTCGCTGCTGGAATTAAATTTAGGAGAACTTCTGGTGGCTCTAGGTCTTTGGATGTTTGCTATGTGCTCAGGGTCTCTGGGGATGCGCGGTTGGTGCCGGTGTGGCAGAGAACATCCCCCTCGAGTCACTTGCTGTCATTTCTGCCCTTCCTCAGTGATCCGCAACGTGAAGTTTAAGATCCTGGATGCAGTGATTGCTCAGGAGCCCTTGCACCGGGGTGGAGGACAGATCATCCCGACAGCCCGGAGAGTGGTATATTCTGCTTTCTTGATGGTGAGGACTACACTGTGCGTGACAAGGACGGAACCCCGTGCCGTGCCAGCTCCTGTGGGCTCCAGGGAGCGTGGGTTGCACGTGTGCTGCAGTATCTGCCCCAAGGATGTTCAAACTGACTCATTTATCCATTAATGTTTCCAGCGCCCTTGTGGGCTGGCAGATGGGTTTTACAAGCGATCACGTTCCAGTCTGGCTGGAAACTTGTGTGCATCTGCTCTGTCTCTGCTTTTTGCTACTGTTTGGCTTGCTGGGAAGGGTGGGTGTGGGGAAGAGGGAAGCATATGACTCATGGCCAGAAGGAGAAAAGCTCCTTTCAGGGTTTGTTTGATGTTGGTTTGGGCAGCCATGGGGCAGCAGGAACCCTTTCATCCCCAGTCAGGTGCTGCATTTGACCAAAGTATGCCAGTCCCCGACTCTTACTTGAACCAAATTGTGTTGGCGCTGCTGGAAGCTCAGTGGCTTGGGTCCCTTTCTCCCCACAGGCCACCCCTCGCCTGATGGAGCCCTACTACTTCGTGGAGGTGCAGGCTCCTGCCGACTGCGTCTCTGCGGTGTACACAGTCCTGGCCAGGCGCAGGTGAGCTGCTCCGACCAACTGCGATCGCCTTAGTATTGCAAAGCAGTAACTGCTCGCTTGGGATCTGGGTTGCTAGAGATGTTCACATTCCTAGCACTGCTTGTGAATCGAGGGGAGAGGGTGAAATCTGTATGAAGTGACAGCTGAAACCTCTCTTGACTGATCCCTGCTCCTGTGCTGGGTGGGGATGGGACGTCCAGGATCACATGCAGCCTTTGGTTTGTAACTGGTTCTTCCTGAGTCTCGGAGAAGAGAATATATAAAGGGACACGAGACCCACGCCGTACTGTGTTCAGCTCAGGGGTCCCCAGCGTAAGACAGACATGGACCTGCTCGAGTGGGTCCAGAGGAGGCCGTGCAGATGATCAGGGGGCTGGAGCTCCTCCCCTCCGAGGCCAGGCTGGGAGAGTCGGGGTTGTTCAGCCTGGAGAAGAGAAGGCTTTTGGAGACACCTTATTGCAGCCTTCCAGTATATAAAAGGGGCTTATGAGAAAGATAGGGAGGGACTCTTTATCAGGGAGTGTAGTGATAGGACGAGGTGTCACGGTTTTAAACTGACAGAGGGTAGGTTTAGATTGGACATTAGGAAGGACTTTTTACCACGAGGGTGGTGAGACACTGGACCAGGCTGCCCAGAGAAGCTGTGGATGCCCCATCCCTGGAAGTGTTCAAGGCCAGGCTGGATGGGGCTCTGAGCAACCTGGTCTCGTGGAAGGCGTCTGTGCCGTGGCAGGGGGATTGGAACGAGATGATCTTTAAGGTCCTGACCCAAGGTTCTGATTCAGACCATTCTGTGATTCTGTGACGTACAGGAAAACTAATGTGTTGTTCTGTTGGCAGAGGCCACGTGACGCAAGATGCTCCGATCCCGGGCTCCCCTCTCTACACCATCAAAGCCTTCATCCCAGCCATTGATTCATTTGGCTTTGAGACAGACTTGAGGACCCACACGCAGGGCCAAGCCTTCTCACTCTCTGTCTTCCACCACTGGCAGGTGAGTCCATGCCCTGGTGAGACTGGGAAGAGGGACATGGTAGGATCAGGCACCAGGTAGGTGCTCTCAGTAGAGCTCAGTGCCACGGCTCACAGAGGGCAGAACAACTCTGGAGAACATCCTCAAAGGATCTCGAGTTGGGAGGCTTTGTACGCTAGCTGTTAAGCGTCTGCCAGAAGCTAATGGCTTCGTTCCAACTCACATCGCCCTTTGCCCTAGCGAGGGAGCGCTGAATGCTGCTGCTGGCTGAGCATAAAGGTCCTTTGGTGCTTGGAGAGAAGACGTCCTTGTCCGGGAGAAGGGAAGCTGTTTGGGTGCACTCGGTACTCTGCAGCTTGGGGAGCAGGGGACTTGGAGCAGGGCTTGGACTTGTTGGTCTGCTGTAAGACGTGGGTTGCCACACTTTGGCTTTGCATCTCAGAGAAGGCTTTTTAAACCTATGGAAAACAGGGTTTGGGACAAAATACTGTCCCAGTCTGGGGCAAATCAAGTCTTGTGGGAGCTACCACTGCGAGGTGCACAGCTACTTGTGGTACAGCCAGGTGGGAGCAGCAGCAGCGACCGAGCCCCAAGAGCTGCCTTAAAGGTCAAGATGTAAAAGTCCGAGGCTTGGCTCTGAAAAGAACAAACATGCCTGATTTCTGGAGAGGGTTGCGCCAACTGGGCCCCACGTGGGTTGTTCTGGTTAGCAGGCTTTTAGGGGTCTTAGAGTAGGCCGGCAAGTGAGGAAGGTGGGACGTGTTCTTGGCTTGGGTTAGCAGCACTGTATTAGTGACTTCTCGCAGAACGATCACCAGCAGCGACGTGACAGTTTTTCTGTGCCAGAAGAACAGATGGGGTGTTGGGGCTGTCACACCAAGGCTGGGAGTGTCCGCAGGGTCCAGGGGTGTTTCCTGTTGCAGTTCAGGCTCTCCAGGAGGTTGAACCAGCCCCCAGCATCGCTCTCACCTCCTGGCCCTGTGTTTCAGATTGTGCCTGGTGACCCCTTGGACAAGAGCATCGTCATCCGACCCCTGGAGCCCCAGCCAGCCCCACATCTGGCCAGAGAGTTCATGATCAAGACCAGGCGTAGGAAGGTACGGCTGGGAGCAGTCCCTACAGTGTCCCTCTGTCCATCTGTACCGGCAGCTGAGCTGTTGCAGTGTTGTCCCTTGGGCATGCCATGTCCCCTCTGTGTTCCCAGAGTGGACCGATGTCCTTTGTGCCTCGGGTCTTCCCTTGCTCCTGATCCCTCATGCTGCCAGTTGGTGCCTGTGGTAGTCCCGCGAGCGACTCATCTGGCAGCGACTCCAGCCAAAAGCGGGGTCCTGCAGCGTCCGCTGAGCCCCGCTCCCTCCCCAGCGCCCATCTGACCCCTTGGTGGCCTGCTTTAGTCCGTTTGTCCTGCAGAAAAAGCAACAACTGGGTTCTGTGCTGGTTTAGTGAGCTGGGCTGAGGGGTTGGAGGGGCACCTGGGGCTGCGCAGGGAGCAGAGGGAATCAAACTCCCTTTTGGGATGGCAGTGAGCTGGTAGATGCGCTCAGCAGCAGCAACCACACATTTGCAGCTTCCTGAGAGACTGTTAGGTGTCTTCAAGCCACTGAGCAATGCCTGATCCCTTGCAAATTCTCCTGCCTCCTCTGGAGCCTGAAAATTTATCTTACTGCGGGACACCAGGGCTTTTTTGTGGGATGTCTGCTGCGATGGCTGTACGAGTGCTGACTGCCAGAGGAACAACCTCTGGTTTTGCGATTACCCTGCAGGGCTTGAGCGAGGACGTGAGCATCAGCAAGTTCTTCGACGACCCCATGTTGCTGGAGCTGGCCAAGCAAGACGTCGTTCTCAACTACCCCATGTGAACGTGCTGCTGCGGCGTGGGGGCTGAGCCAAGTCCTGGCTGGTGTCTGTCTGTCCTTCCCCATCCCCGCTTGCCCAGCCCTGGCTCCTGGATGCTTGGGGCACACAGGGAACCACTCCTCAGGTCGCTCTTTCATGGCTGTAGAAGTCTCCCTGGGCATTTGTGGACTGTGCGCTTGGGGCCTGCCCTGTATAGGGAGTAACCCCGAGCGCTGATGCTTTTTGTATTGCTGGTGTTCAGCCGTGATGGCCTCCAGCGAGGAGATTTTCCCTTTGGATAGGCTCTCTGAGGCACAGGGGTTATCCCCGGCTGCAGCAGAGCAGCGTGAATAGAATGTCAAGATTACTAAGGACTGAGTGTAAACGTACATCAAGCGTCTGAGCTTTCTGCCAACCCTCCCTGGCTGCCAGCGGGTGTTTTGCCTTGGGCACAGCATGGTGTTGGGCAGCTGAGGAAGGTGGGGATGCTGGGGGCAGGGGGGCTTCTACCAGCCCCTCCCAGGAGAAGAGACAAGTGTGGCTTTTACCTTTTTTGTACACCTTTTTTGAACCCTCGTAAACGTTTAATACAAACCCCCACGCAGGGCTCGGTCTGATTGCGCCGAGAGAAGGCAGTGCTGTGAGAGGCTCTGCCTTCGCCGGGGCTTAGAGCACGCGCTGCCCCAATTCAGGCGCTGCCCCAGTTCCCCTGTCCTCAGCGCTGTCCCCTGCAAGGGCTCCGAAAACCGGCCCGTCCTGGCATAGCTAGCTGCCCAGCCAGCCCAGGACAGTCCTGGGCTGCACTAGGATTTTATTCCTCCTGCTGTGTTTCGGGGAACCTCATCAGCTGCTCATGCTCTGAAAGGTTTTCAGTGCTCCCTCTCCCCTGCCGCAGCTCCTCGCTCTGTGTCCACGGCCCCGGGTCCTCTCCCGAGCGCACGCTGTGACAGCAGGGCCAGTTTACATCTCCTGGAGGCTTTTATCCCCTCTCTCTCCCCTGGCCCTGCACCTGCCCCCCCAGATCGAGCCTTGCCTGGGATCGCCCTGGGGCTGCTGTGCTGAATTTGGCCACGGCAGCCTGGTCTGGCCCCAGAGACTCGCCTCTGGGAGCCTGCCCCCGCGCATCCCTGCGCTCAGAGGGGCTCGAGATGGCGGGGGGGGGGAGCCCCCGTGGAGCAGAAGATAAAGCCAAGGACGCCCCCCGAAACCTTCTCCCCAGTTGCTGGTGGAAACTGTGAGGCACTGGGCTGACACAGACACAGGGGATAGGAAGCAGCCCCGGGAAAGCGTGTCCAGCCGTGCCGGGTCTCTGTG